AGTCTAAGAGCTCCGTAAGGTTGAGGGTCGTACGTTTCTCTTCAAAGGTAAATCATGTCTTTGGTTTGGTGTGGAGCTTTTGGTGATTTATTTGAGCAGCTGAAGGGAAGATAACTCTTAATGAGGGCAGTTACAGTTTAACAGTTAAAAGGTCAGGCATCCAGACCAACTAGATCAGTGTTTCCCAAAGTAGGGAACCCTGTCCTCTGGGGAGGCACTGGACTGATCCGTGGGTTCTGGAGAAGCAGATAGGTACCTGTACTTTGGAGCCCTGATGGTGTGTCGGGTTATGTGCTGGGCTGTTGACCTCAAGGTCAACAGTTTGAACCCATCAGTTGCCCTTGCAGGAGACAGATGGTGCTTTCTACTCCCATAAGTTACAGTCTGGGAAACCTGCTGAGGTAGTTCCGCTGTCCTGTAGGGTCACGGAGAGTCAGCATCAACTCTATTGCAGTGGGTTTGGGTTTTGAAGAGGTAATACTCTTGGACCTCTACAGAGGCAGTTCTCCCCTGCCTATAGGGTTTCTGTGAGTTGGCGTCTACTCGATGGCAGTGAGTATGTTTGGTTTTTTTAACCCATACGGTATCCTGAATTATGGTTTCTAGTAAAAAGTTTTTAATTGCCAAGAGGATGCTGAGTAATTTCCCCCACCCTGAAAAGGGCACAGTAGGCCAAATAAGCTTGGGAACCTATGAACTTGATGGTGGTTTACCCTGGTCTAGCTATGTGAACTTGAGCAAACAGGTCTTAGCCTTTCTTGACCTCATTCCTTGATCCTGCCAACTCATCGGGTTGCTCTGTGTTCAGATGGGCGAATGCATGTAAAACATTGAGAAGAGGGCCACACAGGAAGAGTCCTGATGGCACAGTGGTCAAGTGTTGACTGCTAACTGAACCGAAAGGCCAGTGGTTGGAGCCTGCACCCTCTCCATGGGAGAAAGATGTGGCAGTCTGCTTCTGTAAAAATAGACAGCCTTGGGAACCCTCGGCAGTTCTACTCGGTCTGCTCAGAAAGCTATGAGTTACACTTGACGACAACGGCGTTGAATTTACTGGTGTTCTGGCACATAGCCAGAAAATGTTCTGCGTTGGTGGACGCTGTCAGGTCCATTTTCCACTACAAGTGACCCTTTGTGACAAAGTAAAGCTGCTTTAAAGGGATTTCTCGGGTGCGCTCTTTATAGAGGCGGCCGGTTAGGTGTTTCTCCTGCAGAGGTGCTGGCGGGTTTGAACCGCCAGCCTTTGGGTTAGTGGCTGAGGGCTCAGCCTTGTGCCCTGCACACCTGAGCTGTTGCTCACCTCCACGCTCCCTGCCTTCGTGGGGTTACATAGCCACTGTTTCTCTGGGCACTGGCCTCCTGCTGGGGTGTCTGCCATTGAGTGGGTTCCAACCCTGTGCACAGCCCTACGCCGTCCCCACAGGGGTTCCCGTGCTTGAGCCCATGGTGGTAGCCCCGGTGTCAACTTCGTTGAGGGTCTTTCCCTTTCTTGCTGCCTCTCTACTTTGCCAAGTACGATGGGCTATTCCGTGGACAAGAGGGAATGGGTGTGGAGCCATGTCTGCCCACTCTTCAGGGCCGGTCCTGACCAGCGTATGAGGCGGCTTAAGAAAGTTCATGGAAAAATAATGGAATTTTCCCACGGAATTTTTGAAGCTGCAGCGTATGTGTCATGTGGGTGCTGAGAAGTTTTTGTGTCTGAACTTTCCGCTGCACTTTGTTCGGTTTCTTTTTCTAGCCTTTGATTTTCCCGAGTCGCCTGCATTGTCTACTGTTCTGATCGAAGGCAAAGCACTGTTTGAATGGTCGTCTGCGCCCAGCAAAATTGGCTCCCAGAATAATGTTGGCATGAACAGTTCAGAGAGGTTCCGTTAATTAGCACGAGTGCTAGGCTTTGAACCCATGGCTGGCTGACTCCTCACCCTACCTGCCTCAGGAATCCCGAGCGGGCGGTTTTTGAGGGTCCAGTGACCCAGGGACAGGCTCCTCATCTAAGAGAGAGTGGAACAGCCTGGGGCAGCGTTTCCCCACTGCTGTTCTGGGCTGCAGGTTTGACTCAGAGGGGAGAGAGCTGTCAGGAGCTCATGCTTAGGTAGCTCTGGTGGCAGTGTAGGGTTAAACAGCCAACCTCAAAGCTGGCGGTTCAAACCCATTCGCTGCTCTCCAGAAGAAAGATGAGGCTGTCGGCCTTGGAAAACCTATATAAGATCATGCTGCCTCTACCACCACTCCATGGCAGTGGCGTAATATGCATGTGTGCACCCTGGCTTTAGGTGCCTGTGACCAAAATGATAGAGGAGATAGGGTAATGAAGCTGTAGAGGCTACACCTTGGTTGTGTAAGCGTTGGATTCCTAACCACAAGGACGGAGCTTCACCGTTGTTGGGAGAAAGATGAGGCTGTGTGCTCCTGTCGGGCGTACAAAGCCCAGGAAGCCCTAGAGGCTCCCTGTGAGTTGGAATCGACTTGATGGCAAGGGGTCCAGGGTAGATGGAGACTTTAGAAACAATCTTAACAGGCTTTTATAAATGAGGCTCAGGACCATTGAGTAGCTTGCCTGAGGTCCCATTTCCCCATACTATCAGAACTGGGGTCATAGCCAAGGTTTGAGGTTCTCCAGGAACCCAGCAGATGCTTAGAGGAGCTCACCTCGGCCCTTGTCCCTCACTGTCCCTCTATCCCTGCATTTCTTGTGTACTGAGTGCCTGTGAGACAGACCACTTCTTGTCTTCTTATCTACCCACAATCTTATTTGTCCTGTCACAAAGTGACTATTCCCATAACCAAGCCAATCCTAGAATCTGTACCCAGGGAAGAGGAGGGGCTACCAAGCATGACAAGGGAAGGCTGGATTAAGAGCTGCCCAAGGAGCTCCGGGTTCAATGGCGTGATGGCACTTCTCTCGCTGGGGATGTGTGGAGGCAGATGGGGAAGGAAGGAGTGGGCTCCTGTTTGTCCCGTGCCTCCTTCTTGGGGGAGGGGAGGGAAAAGCTGACGTTCCCCCCACCCCACCCCCGCCCCGCCAGTCATGAGGTCCTGTTTGGATTTCAACGCACTCCATTCCACGTCTCATTTAGCAACGGTTGCCCGCCCTGTGCCTAGACCTAGACCTCATCTGGTAAGATTTTCCCCGAGGCAGAAGTATCCCTGCAGCCTTTTTATGTGTTACCGCATAGGCAGTGTGGCCTCTTGTAGAAACTATGTGGACACTTAAAACTGTGGCCAGAAGAATGGCAGCTGTGGGGTGTGTCACCTGGGGAGACCATTTTTGATGCCCTCATGAATTCAGTGTCATGCTCTGTGAAGGCAGAAAACCCTATTCTGTTCTCTGCACATGAGCCAGGCCTCGGAGGAGCCCCGGCCAGGCTGCACCCACTAGGTGTGTCTTCCTGCTCATGGTGAGCACAGAAGAGCCAAGGAGAGCTCTGTGTGCAATATTGTGGGCCCCCATCAGAGTTTACAAAGGTCTCTCCCGAACTCCTCTATCCCAAGGCGAGCAGGGCTTCTACAGACCAGGAAAACACCTGAGGAGCTGGTGTGGAAACAGGAGGGAGCCAGAGCTCTGGGCTCCTTCATCCTGGCACTTTCTCCCAGCCACTGCCTGTCACTCTAGGGTGCAGGGCTGCCAGCCGGCCCCTCGCCCAGTAGACGGTCACCGGAGTGCCTTGTTTATGCCGTTGGCCAAGTAGACAGTGGAGTAAAGTGAGGTCCCGAGGAGGCAGCACCATGTGACTGAAGTTTCCACTGGCAGCCTGCCTCCCGGATGTGCTCAGTGGCAGGTTCAGCCTGCCTAGCTGCAAATACAATACTGCGGCTTTAGTTTCTTTGCTGAGCTGGGTTTTTTCTTTCTTGACGCTGAACTGCTTGAGGATACAGGGACAATGTCTCGTTCATCTTCGTATCCCTTGCACTCCGCACAGTGCCTGGCATAAAGCCAGCATCCAGTCATGGAGCATGCTGCTGTTTCCACACCCTGCCGTCAAGTCGATTCCAACCGCAGTGACCCTACAGGGCAGGGTCGAACTGGCCCTGTGAGCTTTGGAGACTGTCACTCTTTATTATGGGAGTAGAAAACCTCACGGATGATTTCAAACACTGACCTTGCAGTGAGCCCAACTCGTAACCATTAACACCACTGGTAGCCAGGTAGAGCAGACGACTGACAGGCCCCAGCGTGTTTCTAGTGTCCCAGAGCACACGGAGGGCTGAAATTACAGTCGACCAGTGGAGTATTTTAATGCCTTAACATGTGAAATATAAATTTTTGTCTGCGTCCATCTCCATCCATCACTGCTCTGACTTGAAATTGGCAGGCAACAGTCATGCCTCTGCGGAGCTATGCCAGAACAGGAGTGATCAGGAGCCCTGGATACAGGCGAGATTTTGAAGAAACCACTGGATAAACTAATGATGACCTAACCAATTAGAGTCAGACTAGGTCTCCTGACCAGGATACTCTTTTCAGAGTGAAGACATCTCACTTAATTAGCCTGGGACACCATGTGTTTTGAAGGGAAGGACAGAATGACTGACTAGATGCTAATCTCAGAATACGAACAGCATTAACTATTCCAGGAAGTTTCAGAGAAAAGCCTGTTTTATTTAAACCTTAACTGCTAATTACAGGAGGATTATCACCTTCTCACCGGCTGAGCCTCAACACCGGAACCTGAAGCGTTTCTGCTCAGATGTAAAGAAATAGAGGCAGCCCTCTCCTGTCTGTGTAGAACTCTACCAAGTGCCCATGAGTCTGTGTGCTGAGTCCCCTACGTTTAATAAACTTGACCTTTTTTTTAAAAAAATAGCTCTGCTGTCACTGTGTGGTTCTTTTTTTATTTTTTCTCAGTGGAATGGACACGGGACACATTGTTTGGGTGGGGTTGGGTGGAAGCAGAGGGGTTGGTTGAGGGGAACCCAACTGTCATTGAGTTTCTTAAGTTAAACGATGTCACTATAACTTAAGCTAGATGGTTTTTAATTTCATTTCATTTGGTTTTTAGGAAAAAGAAACCTGTGTGGGTACCAACAATCAAAGCTACACCTGTGACACAGGACACTGCTGTGGACAGTCTCAGTGCTGCAACTACTACTACGAGCTCTGGTGTAAGTCCTTGCCCCCCAGGTCTCTCCCCGTCCCGGCGGCTCTCTGCTTGCTGGGAAACCAGGCGCTTGCCGGCCCTTTTCTGATTTCCTCGAGGCTGCTGCCGGTCAATAGAGGTGTTGGCAAGTTCCAGAAGCAGTTCCGTGGCAGAGAAGGAGTGCCTGGTGCTCTTTGGACACTGAGCATTGCAATTTGGAGGGTGTGGTTTGAGCCCTCCAAAGAGGCCGTGGTCGGTCACCAGGCCTGCTCATGAGATGCTGCTGGAGTGAGCCCCTCATGACGCCTTCTCCCTCTTGCGCCCTTGGGTCCTTCCCTGGGCCAGCCCCGGAGCCCAGGCTTTGCACTTTTGCAAAAAGAGGTTGGCCGCAGCCTTGCTATGGTTCTCATGAGAACCACAGAGGCTTCCAGAATTCTCAGTAGGACACCAGGAAGATGTCTCTGAGGGTCCCTCTCAAAGACATAATCTTGGCCTAGGCCCCTGCGTGTGGACCTGAGAGATGGAGTCTTGAGGTCAGGCCCTTTCGGGGATTTTTTTCCCCATCACTCAAACTGCAGCATCTGTGTACGAAACCTGTTCCAGGTAGTGCAATGCCAGGCCTTGCTTGGTTTGGTGGAGTATCTTGAACAAGATGCTACTTGTATCTTTTCAGGACTTTGCAGGATGGTGACATAGTTACATGAGGGTAACTCCAAAAATGTCACCAGGGCTGCAGTTCATACATGCTTATTTAAAGGAAACGGTGTTTAAACTCTGTCATCGGTGGATGGCTGCAGACAAGTTCTCTTGGTAATACACGTGTCTTAGTTTCGTTGGGATGCCTTCCAAATTTAAAAGGTCTGATCAAGACAGTGGCTTCCAGCGGGGGGACCTACTGGACCCATTAAATTTAAGGCAGAGGCATCAGCTCAGACGATTATGGTGACTTTTAGGATTGGCAAGAAGTAATCATGATAGATCTTTTCAAAGGACACAAGGATGATTGTGGAGACTTACAATGAAGGAGGTTTTTAGAAAATGGCAAAAAAAACCACCAAAACAAACCTGCATTGGTGAGGAAAAGGCCAGGAGAGGTGCTGAGGAATTTTTGTTTGGTTTTGCATTTTGATCATGCATCTGCTTCTCCTTTGTAACAAGGCAGCCCTACCAGAATTTTGTTGGGATGCTTTACATCCCTGATCTTGCTCCTTTAGATGTTTGTGGGTTTTCAGTCCCGCAAATTGGCAGAACATTTAAAAAGAATGTGATTTGAGTCCCTTGAGGATGCCCACAGTGCCCGTTTGACACAGTGTGAGTCGAAGAGCACTGAAGTCCTCAGGGAACGATGAGAGATGGAAACACTGCCGTTAGCATGACAGAGATCTTGGTGGAGGATATGTCAAGAAGCAATAGCTTCACATTTGGTATTTCTGTTTAGTAAAGGCTTCTGTGGTTTTATAGCAATACCTCATAGTCTTTCAGGGAGTAACCCAGAATTGAAGAGTGCACGAACACTGTACTCTGATCTCCCTGGAGCTCAGGTGAAACGGTGTAGGATGGTAGAATCCAACTTCAAGCTATCCCCTACCACATGAGAGGCTGGAGGCATCTTGGACAGAGAGGCCACAGGTGAGCGGCATTTGCAGGGGTTCTCACACCATCTTTTGAGAGAACTGTGGATTAACTCCCTCAGATCATCCCCAGCACCCATCACCCCCCTGGGAGCCCTGGTGGCATAGTGGGTTACACATCTGATTGCTCACTGCAGTGTCGGTGGTTCAAATCTACTAGGTGCATTGAGGGACAAAGATCGGAGGCTTCCTGCTCCTGCAAAGATTTACAGCCTTGGAATCCCACAGGGGCAGTTCTCCTCTGTCCTGTAGGGTCGGTTGCGATGAATCAATATGGGCTCGGAAGCAGGGAGTATCCCTGTCACGATGTGAAAACAAACTTGAGGCTTCTTTGTCGAGCTATGCCCTTACTTCCTGCATCACTCCACCTGTTTCCCCTTTTCTTTTCCGACCTTTCCATTCCCCACACAGCGCTGATGGTAAACAAGCAACCAGCAGGGCACTTGTTAGGTGTGGAAAGGAAATGAGACGCCTGGCCAGAGAAGTCTGCCCCTCCGAAATGTCATCCTGTTGGGAATGGTTCCTATAAATAGGCTCGCTCTCTCTCTCTCTCTCTCTC